ACACACACACACACGCACACCACAAACACCACACACACACACACACACACACACACACACACACACACACACACACACACACACACACACACACACACACACACACACACACACACACACACACACACACACACACACACACACACACACACAACACACACACACACACACAACACACACACACACACACACACACACACACACACACACACACACACACACACACACACACACACACACACACACACACACATACATACATACATACATACATACATACATACATACACCATACATACACACATACAACACAACACACACACACACACACACACACACACACACACACACACACACCACATATATATATATATATATATATATATATATATATATATATATATATATATATATATATATATATATATATATATATATATATATGTCTTTATTTTTCACACAAACACACATGCACACACACACACACATGCACACGTACACATGTTTATTTTATACTTTGTTAGTCAGAAAAAAGTTATAGCCCAAAAATCACAAACTTTCAGTGAAAAACGTGTTTGACTTTTGAATTTATATGCTAAATCAGGGGAGTAGTACAGTTTGAAGTACTAAAAGGGCTCCTTTAAATGATGGTCATCCATGTAACTGACCCTATTCGTCCTGGTAGTCAAAACTGTGATTGCTTATCATGAATACTTGCTAAGATGTTTACAGTTTGATATATACCTCTGCAATTTTTATTTTATTTTATTTAAAATCTTTTAAATCCTTGAGTGATTTTTCTCTTTGCTTCTTCATCGACTTTCCTTCCCTTTCGTTTTCTCATTTCGTCATTGTTTTGATTCTCTATTTCATTTTTTTCATCTTGTTTTACTTTTCCCTCTTCCCTGCATTTTCTTGCCATGTGTCTCCTGTTCACCCTCTTTCTTTACCATGTTACCATTCATTCATTCTTACTTTCATTTCGTATTTGATTTTCTCTTCCTTCAGCTATGTCCTTTTTTCTGATTTTATTGTAAGTGTGTGTGTGTGCGTGCATGCTTGTGCATATTTGTGTGAAAAATAAAGACTTCCGATTGTTTTATCTTTCTGAGGTAGACATTTTGTGCACTATCATTCAAAGTTAAATAAAGCTGTTTTTTCTTATGCTTATCTTCATTCAGGACAAAGAATGAAAAATATATGCATAATGATAATTGTTTTGGGTCTTATTAATAAAAAAAAAAAAAAAAAAATTTGGCAATAAAAATATCAATAATGATATATATTTAGAAAAATCTCTGCTTGCATTTTCTAACAGCAGGATTATGGGTTCTAAGACTCAGATAATCCTTTCCTTAACTAAAGGTAACGGGCTTATTATACTTCCTTGCGTGTGGTGATTCAAGATGATTCTCCTTAAGGCTAGCATCCCCCTTTTGAGGTCATAGGTCACTCAGCCCATCGGCTGTTCAAAAAGGTAGTAACAGGCCACTCATTCTTGAATTAATAGAATTGCAATGTTGGTTCTGGTTTGCCTTCTGTAATCGTTTGTAATAAATTTTATTTGTTTAGAGTAAACAGGAATTTTAAAGTAATTCATTTACTTGTATTTTTAGATTTTTATCTCTATCACTTTTAATCTTTTGTCTATAATTCTGACCATTGTTTTTTTTTGTGTGTGTGTATTTTTTGTATTTTTGGTAAATTCAAAAAGTATATTTTGATACCAACCACAGAACCTTCATGCTATGTATAACAACATTCCATGCCAATTTCCTAGGATAGGTTAATAAATCATGTCTTTTATAACATAAATTTTATTCATCAGCCTCGTATCTGTTTAACAGACAATAAGAAGCTCAGTAGAAAACTTCAAGCATACAATCCAATACCCATTTGCCCATCCCTATTACTTGAGGTCTTCCCCTGAGCTTCTTTACTAAGCACATCTTCCTCATTCTTGGAAGATATCAGGAAAAAAGGAAAAAACAGTTTACTAAGAATTGGTGGGAAAGAATGGCAAACTCACTGTATTTATTTTTTGGTATATGAGCCATATGTTACAATATACATTACAATTCGTCTGCCTTCTTCCAAATCTCTAATGTTTTTTAAACTAATTACAGTTATCAAGGAAGAGAGAAATGAATGCTAATTGATTAATAAATACAAAATATACAGCACATTTGTGAACTAACACACTAACCTACATTTTCAGCATCCTGTACATATATAGTGCCTCACATTTACAGTTCAGAATGCTTGTAAGAGCTTTATGAAAAAGAGAAAAGAAAAAATACACAGTACTCAACAGTATAAACAAGTATGTCCTAAATCGAAGCTGCTCACTCCTATCCATGACTACCAGGTTATCTCTAGGATTGCAATACCCACAAAAATGCTCTAATGTTACCGTACAAGAGCCTTTCACCTCGTAGCATTTTCTCTTCCTTGTCCACAGAACTCTGCACCACTTTTTGAGGATATCTTTAATACCTAAATCCTACATAAACACATGTTGAAGATAGTTTCTTGTAAGTACAATATAAATAATTGAAAAAAAGGTATTACTGTGGTATAATACCATGTTAAATCTTTCTCACATTGCCAATATTGTTTTACAGTAAGAGTGATGTACAGATGCTGTGTACACAAACTCATACACCTCTACATGCACAAAAACTGGTATGTGTGTAATTATGTGTAAAGATATGTATGCATTTAAAAACTTGTTTCATAGAAGAGGACATGCACCTCTATGCATGGATATACAGTTTATATATAAATAATCACAAGGTTTTCAGATACAAATGGTACGGTCAGAGCTTTTTTTTTTCCCCCTCGCAATGATATGCTATTCTCCCCACTTACCTTGTGACTAGAAACCAAGAGGAAGCACCCTTTGGCTAGTGGAAAAAATAGCATATCGATTATCATATGAGGGGTGGGGGGAGGGTAGATTTTATGTCAGCTCTGATGATTACACAACTCACAACGCACAGGCAATAACTATGGGAAGATATTCAAGCTGGTCATTGCAATTCTTCATTAAAATAGTCCTACAATTTAACCAACATGAACAGCATCTTGCATATCCTAAAAATCAACAAAATATCTAGATTGGCTGACACAGTAGAAAAAAAGAAATACAGTATCTGTTAGTATACATTTCACAAAGAAATTTGAAACAAGTCCTTAGAAATGAAAAGGCTTATTAATTACCAATACAGCTAAACAATTTTTCAATTAGTATACTTTAATAAATGAAAAATAAAATAATGCAAGGGACTTAAACCCAAAATCATAATCTATGCAAACCTCCAGCAGTACACTAACCAGTTGCCTCAGGTAACATACAAAGGAAGTAAAATCTAAACTTATGACAAAAATAGTTCCCATTTATAATTTGTTCAGAGCAGTGCCTCAGGCCGTCTGTTCCTTTGGCAAATGCCAGAAAGTCACACATTCTCAAACTGTTCTATTCTGATTTCACACCAAATTTTTAAAAAGTAAAAGGCTTTCACCTAAATGTCTTCCAGAAATATATAATTTCTAGAAAGGATAAATGACCTGCATTTACTACCACTGTCTGTTATTGACAGAAATATTTGTCTTTTTCCATTTACCTGAAAAGCCTAAAAAGAAATGAATAAGCTTTACTTCAACTCAATAAGCTTTAGAAATTAAAGGTAAAACTGAAGAGAAAATTGGGGCATAAATTCCACTAGTCTGTTTGCACCATTCATTTTGTATTTGTAAACATGATTTTGAAAAAAAAAATGGAAGAAGTGGAATGATCTTGAAATATATCTCAACTACCATAATATTCCATGGGTCAGGAAGTAGTACTATGTGCATGTTATCTAGGTTCAGTATATATTATATATTATTATCACAGTTTTAATATCTAATCATCTTTAATTATTACAACAAAACTTTTAAAACAATTGAGCTTATCACTAGATCATAGACAAGACACATATCCACAATACTACTTCAACATTTGATATGGGAAGTTCAATGCTTGACTATATTTTAAAAAGGACTCTAAAAACTATGATTATCAAAAACAAAAACAAAAAAAAAATGAAGAAAAACATTATAATGCACTTTGCACTAGTTTCTACAACATCTTTCTAGTGAGAATTAGTAGTTAATCCTTCCTTTTAGCTAGAAACAAAAAAATTGTAAATCATTTTGCAATTTCTAATGGGCAATCTTAAATCCAGCAGAATCTATGACTTGCCTTGTTGTGCCAGATTGCAGCTTGTTTGAGTAAGCTCAACACCACTGCTAACAAGCCATTCTGGCCTACGAGAAAGAGGTCTTCACACAAAGCAAAGAGTAAGTCAGTAGGCATTAGAGAGCTGAAGCAATTGCTTGATATCACTCCTTCATAAAATACTCACTGATCTCCATTGTTATGTAATTCCTCAAAGCAAATAATTGACTGCAAAACAGGTAAAACAACAGAAATCAGTAAAGCTAGTTTGATAACTGTCTCCGTACCAAGTAGAACTCCTATAACTATTGCATGTGCTTATGGATAATATATGTTTGTGTGGGTAAGTGGGCACATGTGTGTCATGAAATAGTATATAAAGACATTGATGCTGACACATGTAAAGTCCCTTGGCAAAAAATTAAATATGTAATCTTGGATGATTCACAGATTATAAAACACTAGAACCATAACAATGTACTAACAGACTTATTTTATTACAATACTATGTCCACACTTTTACTATCATGAGAACTTTTGCTAAAACTTTTGGACCTTGTATAGCTATCCTTATGACTGTTTTTAACTGTTTACAGTACCTCATAAGGGACATTGCATTAATTGGCATTGGGCACTAGGTTTGTGCATGTGTATGTGTCTGTGTATGTTCATTTATGTTTTTGTATATGTGTGTCTGTGCATACTTGTGTATCTGTGCTTGTGAAATAGTGGGTGCATGGACGTAACAAAGAAAATTATGGTCATTTAGTTCAATAAGTAAATAACATTACATTGAAATAACATCTTAAAACATCTGAGAAGTCATATAAAATAGTTATCTGATTATCTAATAATACAACAGATATAATCAGGAATGTTCATCATCAACTCACATACCTTCCTTTGCTCACTGACACAAAATCAATATACACAAAGAAGCTACAATCTACAAATATTGTAACTATTCTCTCCTCCTCCTTCTTCATCTTCACATTGTAATTCTAATCTTAAAAAAACAATTGGGGAGGGGAAAGAGAAACTATCTGGTGCAAAATTCTTCTTAGAAGAGAATCCTAATACTTCTAGGTGTTTTTTTCTTCTTTTTTATCTCAGCAATAGGTAAACGAATCCTAAGACATGACTAGCAAGGGGGTAATACTTGCATTCCGATTCCTAAGTGTATTGAATCATAGTCCCTGACAAGATATCCCATATCTTTGTCTACCTTGACTGAGGATACTCATGGCTACACTACAGGAACTGTCAACCATGTGGTGGGTATCTGTATTTAGGTTCCTTCTGCATTGTTTCAAAGGCAAAACAAAACATATTGTAGGCAAACCACCTCTTAACTCATATTTCTGTGATATAGTTGGTGCTAAGAGTAGAAATGGGCTAATTAATAACATATAATCTGACATCAGTAAACGTAACAACGTAGGAAAAATAAAAATATAACCAAAATTTTCTTTCAGTTTCACAAAATAATCATTATCTCACATTGTTAACCTAATAAATACAAAAATTACCATAGACATTGAGCAAACACTTAAGTGAAACACTTACAAAATTACCTTCCCAATATGAAGCCTAAAAATAAATACAACATATATATATATGTGAAAAACAATAGTCAGTAGCCTGTTGAAATATCCTCTTTAATTCCCACGGTGCATCTCACCAAGGTAATCTTTGTCCAAGGAGAACAATACAATGGCAACGCTGGCAGCAATTAATTGGTCAAGTTCCTGTGTCTCTTTCTGGTATAGTGTCTTCCTTTGTTAAAACTGGCGATCTCACCTTTGACTTCTTCTTCTTCACTTTCTTCTCTGTGTTGCATACATCCCCTGCCACCTGCCCCTCCTCTTTCTTGAATTTCCGACTCCTGTTGCTGGAATCACTGCATGTGCTCACTGTCTCGCTGCTGCTTCCCCCGGGGTGTTGTGATGAGTACCATTCCCAGTTATCTGAGCGGAGCTTTACCTTTGTCTTGGCTTTTGGAATGACCTTTTGTCTTTCACTCATAAGTAACCGATCATGATCTGTGTACATAAAGTTCTTTCCCACATATAATGGAGTATGAGAATCGATACCATTTGCATAGCCATCTGCATATATACTATTTGGAGAGTAACTGTAAAAGTGACCATGCTCACCATTTATTTTTGTATCTTCACTGAAGTGCACACTGCTATGTCCATTAGGATAAAATTCATTAGAATGGCTTCGAAAATCATGTGAAGTTCCATTAGGCATGGAAAAAACTTCATCAAGATCATTAAGCCTGTCTTGCTCAAGTCCCTGTGAACTAAAATACTTACTTTCTATATTATTATCCTTTGTCTTCCTGATCTTTTTAACCTTTTTGCCCTTCTCCTTCCCACTCTTTATGCTTTCTGATGCACTGCATAAAGATATTGACTTAGAAAGTTTACCAGATTTCTTATTTTGGCTATCACAGTTAGTGCAACAAGGTAAAGAATGTCTCTTGGAAGTTATTGGCTCTGTGTCAACTAGTACCTTCCCCCCTGGCTCTAACTCACTGATAAAAGGCCTCGGAATGCAAGGGTCCCCTTCTTCCAACATTTCATAAAACACACTGTCCTGTTCATTATAGAATGGTTCATAAGGTATCCCAGAAATATCTGGTGAGTCAGGAGATGACAGAGGGGTGATGGGAGTGGAACATGACTCACTTTTGTCCCCGCAGAACAGTACTCCTGCACTTGACTTGTTTAGCTTCTCTATGCGTTTTGCTCTCCTGGAGGATAAGGTGGAATTTTCCACTATGCTAGCATTGGACTTTGACCTCTTCAACGTTCCGCTTGTCGATTTTCTCTTCTTCTTGTGGTCTACCATTGAATCCATCAAGATAGGGATAGCTGGCTCGATGATGAGAAGGTCTTGATATGTACCTGTAATGTGGTGCAGGTGTTAATTGAAGGCACAGTGCTTATATATTTGACTTGGAAGTAACTGTTGTATCTTATGCAATGGTCACACTAATCTTGTCTTTCAGAGGATCCTAATAATTCTTGTCTTTCAAAGGATCCCAATACAGCATCGCTGAGTGTATGGCAGTTACAGAGCAGGATTGGTCACACTACATACAATACAAAACAAAAACACCAGAGTGTCTACAATAATTTTGTGAATGAGCTATGCATCAAAGATAGTCGTGGATTCGATGAATACTGAATTTAATCATATTTAATTAATTGTAAATATTAAAAAAAGAAGACACTAAACTTAGAAAAGCCAACCTATCCATTTTATTAATTATCATACATACAATCATGCCAGCTATACCAATACCCCATATTTCAACAGACTGTAAATCTGTAAATATCACCATTAGTGTAATCAGTAATGTACAAGAGATGAAATTATGTACTGATAAAGCTAAAGTTGGAAGTAAGCAACTACTGTAACTGAAATTGTGTAAAGTATTAGTAATTATCGATCGTGACACAGCCTTCCCAGCCATATGATTTCTTAATATCATCCATTATTGTTATTTTGAACTTTCTGCTATCAGGATCTTTGTGGATAGTATTCCATAATTAATTTATGGCTCTCACTTTGTCCACCAGGGACAAATATGTCTGAAGTGAGCTCTATGGGTGTGTGCTTGCACTCCTTGATCAAATGAATATTTGTCTGGATAATATTTAAAAATTTTGTAAGGTATTGTTCGTAATAATATTACTTATTTCGACAGTACAATTTACTGAACATAATATAATAATCACTTTTTAGACAATCAGGTAATAAGCTTCCTAGTAATGGTACTACAGTTTTTGTTTTGGCATCATTTTCCCTCTCTTTCTGGGGTGAAAGACCAACACAACAGTGCCACTCTCAGCAGGGATTTTCATTTCTGTTCCCTTCACAGCTGGGGAATTATCCCACTCTGTAATGGGATCCTTGGACAGAATAGATTAGTGTGACCACCCCTTTATGAAAGCAAACCTATATTTGATTTATAATATGTTTAATCCACTCACCTGATATATTGAGTGCCTCTTCACTGGGCCTTCGTCGACGTGGCCGAGATGCTCTCTCCCTGGTGATACTGTCTACTGACCGTCTTCTCACTCTACTGGGTATCTGGTCTTCAAAATTGCATCTTCTGCTCTCAAGTCCAATTTGACTTTCAGGATCTTCACTTGGGGTCTGTTTGGGAAATATCATGAACTAAGAATAGGAATAGTCTCATAAACACAAGAAATAGTACTAGTACAAAAGAAATATGCCACATTTGTAATGATCTAAGAAGCCCAATCAAACTCTTTTGAAGCCATAGAATATTATACTTACTTGTGCTCTCCTTTCATTTAAAGCTCCATTTTCCTGTCTTATATCAGCAATCCTCCTCCTGTGGCAAATAGTGAACACCACACACAGCACCACAACTTCCACCACCATGAGTAGCAAGTGTTGCTCCACTACTGTGTGAGCTAGAGTTTCTCTTTCTTCCACAAGCTTTTCCAGGATGTTGCTCACATTCCCAAGTTGCTCCTCCAGGCTCTTGATGTCCCTCTGGTGTTCCTGGTCCCGCTCATAGGCCTGGCGGGATGTGGCATTCAGGGCAGCAATGGTGAGATTAAATTGCTTCTGCATTTCCTCCATCTGTCGCTTGTACCTCCTGCTCAACTCCTCAAGGTACTGACTGCTGATTGACATGTTGTATTCCAGAGCCTGTAAATATGGGTGATTAATTTGCTGTAATACCAAATAACATGCTTTTAAAAGATATAAATTTCCCATGTTGAAGAGAACTGGCTGTCTGGCCATTTTTCATTACACTACAGGGAGTTAAAATATATTTCTAAAGAACCTGCTAACTATAAAAGAAGAAAAGAATTTACCTTAATCTTATTAGATAATCGAACTACAATGGATTCCTTGTTTGTTGGCGAGCTTGAAAGTTGCTTGGGCTCAACTGGAGGTGGGGTAGAGGAAGGAGGAGGAGGGGCCACTGTAGCAAGGTCCTCACTAGGGGCAAACTCTTCCTCCTCCAAGTTCACCTCTCCAAATCCTGAGCCCTCAACCTCCACGGGCTCCAGGGTTTCCCCAGCAGAGGAGTCAGATTCCATCTCCTTTGCCACCTTCTCCTGAACAGTATTTCCACTGGCCTTGGGTTCTTTAGCAGCTACCTTCTGGGGCTGACTTGGTCCGCTGTCAGGAGAAGGGGTCTGGGATGCTTCGTCTGATTTCTCCGAGTCTTGCTCTGCTGGTGCCTGACCGTCTTCTATTTCAATGAGCTTCAGCCCTTGAACTTCTGAGGGCCTACTGATGTTTGCATCTGTGGCATCTGCTCTTGTTATGCTGGATGTATTGATCACTGCATTTTTGACATATGATGGTATTTGCTTTGAGGTTGTCATGATATCTGAAGAGGTTGTTGAGAAATTTTCAGGCAGATGAGTATCACTGGGATCACAAGCTGTTTGGCTGTCAACTATTCTAGGATCTTGCATAAAGCACATGGCCAGCACGTGCTTTGGGGACAACATAACACATACATAACTGTTATTGCAAACAGTATCATAAACAACACTATCATTGACCTCAGGCTCTGCACACATCACTGAAGCTAGCCTGCGACAAAAGCTTGAATTCTTGACGGTAAACGAAACAAAGGGCTGTAACATGAGGGCCTCATACTCCATTTTGTAGCAAGATAATATGTAGTTCAGGGTTCCAGCCATTGAACACATGCCACTTTCCATTGCAAACTTGGGGTGAAGGGAATAACATCTCTCATCTGGTTCTGTTGAGATACTGCTTGGTCTATACCCTCTCTTGATGACATCTAAGACTCCAGTAAACATATTCTTAAGCACAGCTGGGATCACACTTGGCTTTCCTTCATCTGTGACAAAAGAAAAAAAATAACAAGTAGAGAATGTGCACTTTACGTCTTATATTCTTAAATGTTTTATTACAACTCTAACTGACAAATATATTTAATGAAAGGCATAAAAAAATCTGAACAAAGGAATCAAAGACCTATAAATGTATATCGTACAAAAGCACCAAAGATGTTGCTTTGTATCTTATAATGTTAATCATATTCTCTGAAATACAATCACTTCCACTGTTTATTGTGTGTATTCTGTTACATGATACTGCTAACTTTATACCACTGTCAACCTCTAGTAACTCTATCTTATTAACCTCCTTCTTAGCTAACCAGAGATTCTGTAAATAGAAATTTGCGGTAAACATCAGGTGTGGATTTTGATCTCCACCTCTGAGATCGTGTTACCTTTGTGCTTCTTTCCAGAATTTTCTTCCTCCACTGCTTCCGTGAAAGTTTCTTCACTGTCTTCACTGTCCTCACTGACATCTTCTATTGTATCAATGACTTCGAATTCAGACAGACCATAAATGCGAAAAAGAGATATTGGGCAGAAGAATTCTGAACCATAATGACTCAAGACTTCAACCTGGAAAGTAAAGCAATAAATAAATAAAAATGTATCCATACAATAATGTGAAATTATTAACACAATCCTAAATAGTTATCTGAAAAATCTGTACAAGCACAGCCTCATACACTAAATACACAAAGAGACATAGATATTTATGCATAGACTAGAAATGCATTCATACATGAAGTAAGACTATGTGAGAAACCAAGGAAGAGAAAGAGGGGGAGAGGGAGATAAAAAAGAGATAACAGTGGAAGGATAATAAGAAAGGATGAACAGAAGGAGAGAGAGAAAGGGAGACAGAGAGAATGAATAAATGAATGGAGTGACCCCCACAAAAGTTAGTGACTAAATGTATATTCGGATTCCTGATGCAAAGAAGAAAGTAAATGGTTTTATGAGTAAGAGACAAGTGAGTGAGTGAGAGCAAGCAAAGGGAAGAAAACTATGAGCCTCTATGAAAACCTGTCAGGGCTCATTGTTTGAAGACATGCTGAGGGAGTGTCTCGGATGCTGGTTTGTGTGTCTGTGTGCTGATGCTGTTTGTGATACTATATATCACCACCTAGGAAATAAGGGTGAAAAAAGACAGACAGGTGGATTAGTGTAGGGGAAAAAAGCAAAACAAAGACTAAGGAAAACACAGAGATATTAATACTGTAATGATGCTACAACAATCATAGGGCACTGTATATATGCCCCACCCTCTGCTCTATGGACAACTTTTAAAAAGAAAAAAAGTGAAGAAAACATAATAACGAAAAAAGCTTCTACACTATGTAACCACACTCTTACTACTTCACTTACACCAAACCAAAGAAATATAAAAAAAAAATCTACCCCTGCAAAATAACAAACACTAATTACTCCTGTATCCCCTCCTCCCTTCAAAAATCCCTCCCCTTCTCTACCCTATCCCTACCCTCAGGACCCCCCTTGGGCTCCACCCCCACCCCCAGGACCCCTTAGGATCCCCTCGGACCCCACTCCCTGCCATCATTACCTTGACGTATTTGTAAAAGTCTTCGGTGTCCACGTGGAAGGACTGGACGCCGCGGTTGCCCTCCTGCGCCGTGAACCGCCCCAAAGAAGACCAATCCCGTGATGGATAGCGATGACTTCCCGATACCTGGATTTCCTTCGGTAAATTACTGAAGAGTTCAAAATTGGCAATGTCAAACTGTGGAATGAAGAGAGGGGGGAGAAAGGCATTAATTGCGTGTGGCAAAATGGCGAGGATGAGGTCTTAATTATAATACAATCACTTACGTCCATCTTCTTCTAGGTTGATTTCAATGCCCTTTAAACGTGCGTGCTACACTCACACTAAAATAGAACAATAAAACAATAACAAATCAAAAACAATAAACGGAACCTAAAAAGGCTCACCTTTTGTGGTCGGATGCTCTCGCAGAGTTCAATAATGAACCAAATCTTGTCCCTGCACTTGTTCAACATATACTCATCCCTGTTTGAATGGATCACCTGTGGGAAGGAGAGAGAAAACATAAATTATCACAGGCCATTCTACTTGACGTTAAGCTTCCACAACGTAAAAAAAAAAAAAAAAAAAATGGAACGACAAATCACACATTCAAAAAATGCGCAACGAGTATTTCTCATTTTTCTTCTTTTCTTTTTTAATCTCATTCAAATCTTAGGATCTAATCAACACACACACTCACCTTCGACGCGTGTGTGGCTTCGGGATTGGCAGACATCAGTTTCGAGCCACAGTCGGGTGATGCGTAGTTTTTGCTCTTCACTTTCGGCCCTTGTGACCATTGCCACTGTGGCCGTTTGCGTTCACTGCGGAAGGGAATTCGGTGTTAATAAACTACGTCGGGAGAGGGAGGAGGGAGGGAGAGAGTAGGGAGAGGGAAGGAGAGGGAGAGGGAAGGAGAGGGAGGAGAGAGAGGAAGGAGAGGAGAGAGAGGGAGAGAGAGAGAGAGAGAGAGAGAGAGAGAGAGAGAGAGAGAGAGAGAGAGAGAGAGAGAAGAGAGAGGAGAGAGAGAGAGAAGAGAGAGAGAGAGAGAGAGAGAGAGAGAGGGGGGAGAAAAGAGAACTGACATGCAAAAAAAAACAAAACATTATTTCACTATGTCCAAGAATACAAAATCAACCCTCAAAATACGACTAAACAATCTTCCGCACAATCAAAAAAAAACACAATCCCACGAAAGGTAAAGCGAGAGGCCTTCCCTACCGTCATTTTTCTTCTCCGCGTTGACCCTCTGCGTAAACTGGCTGTACGTCTCCAAGGTATCGGGACTCTTCTCTTCCTCTTTCTTGTCCGCTTTCCCCTCTTCTGCTCCCTCTTTCGTCTTCTTGATCTTCGCGGATTCTGCTTGCTGCTTCTTCTTCGCCTTCTCCGGTTCTCCCGTTTCTTTGTCCGCCTTTGTGATGTTGGCCGTCGGCCTCTCTCCTTTCTCCTCGTCTATCTCCTTTTCTTTGGCAGCTTTTGTTTCTTTCTGCTTCTTCTCTTCGCCCTCGGGTTCTTTCGCGTCTTCGGCTTTGTCTTGGCTTTCCTCTTCCTTCGCAGACTCTTTGGGGATTTCCTCTTTCTGTTCTTCCTTCTGTTCCTCCGCTGTGTCTTTCGTCTTCTCTTTCTCTTCCGTCGCTTCACTGGGTTCCTCTTCTGAGGCTTTCTTGTCACTCACAGCGTCCTGGAGTTCCTCTTTCTCTGCTTCTGCTTCTGCTTCTTGTTCCTCTGGTCCCGGGCCTTTCTCTTTCTCTTGCTCTCGACCTTCTTCCTTTCGTTTCTTCTTTTTCTTCTCCTCCTCACTCAAGTCCGCTTTCTCTGGTTCTTCTACGATGCCGATATTTTTCTCCTTTTCCTCTGGTTCGGTATCCGTAAACTCTTCCGCTTGCTTGTCCTCATTGTCATCGCTCTCTGCTCTCTCCTCCGGCACTGGAGTCGGGGTGTCTAGGGGTTTCTTGTCCTGCTTTTTCTTCTTCTTCTCCTTCGTTTCCTCTGGTTCCTCCTTATCCTGGTCAGCATCAGCGCTCACTCCTTCTTCCTCTTCCTTTTTACTACTTGTTTCTTTGGTCCCTTTGCCATCGTCGTCGTCTTCTGTTTGCGCACCTTCGCTCTGCTGCTCCACCGATTCCTTGCCTTGGTCCTCACTTTCACTCTCTTTCTCCTTCAGTCCTTCTCCCTCGCGATTTTTTGTTTCTTCCTTCCCTCCCTCCTTCTCCTCTTTCGCTTTGCCTCTCTCAACATCTTCCGGGTCTTTCCCTTTCCCTAGTTTCCTCCTGACATCACTGGGCTTCGTTCCTTCTCTCCCTTTCTCCTCCTTCCCTCCTTCCGACTCCTTCTTCCCACCACCTCCTCCTCCTCCTCCTCCACTTCCTTGCCGCTGCCCAGTGTCTCTCTCCCTGGCCTCTCCTTCCACCAGCTGAATGGCCCGGGCGCTGTGGATGCGCGTGAAGTTCTTGCTCGAGATGCTGTTGAAGAATTCCTTGGCGTCTAAGAAATGCGTCAGTTTGCCGCCGCCGCCGCCGCTTCTGCCGTGGTCGTCGTCCTTTTCCTTTAGGTGCTGCGCGAGGACCTTCCTGTGGACGTTGTGGACCCCGTCGTCGAGGACCCGCGCGGGGCTGATGGTGACGTTGACCACCGAGCTACTCCGGGCCTCGATGGCGCTCAGGACCTCCTTCTCCACCTCTAGGCCTCCCGCGACGGGCGGCAAGCTGGGGGGGAGAGAAACAAGCGGTAAGAATGCTGTTCCTGGGTCATACGGTTACATACAGACACAGAAATACACAAATATATACGTAAATAAATAAATAAACAAAATAAATAGATACATGCATTATCATTTTCATTATCATTATTCAACAGCCATTCATTCCACTGCAGGGGCTAAGCCTCTCTTAATTCATGTTTGAATACCGATATTCAAATACATAAATACTGATGAGGGTTAGATAGAAAATAAAATATGCAGTGTGATGTAACCAAAAATGATAAAATCCGCAAGACTGTTCCACAAGCACGATCTGAATCTTTACCCACAGAAGAAAATGATCATGTTTACTACGACGGAGTGGACACGTCAGCAATTACTGGACATGTCCTCAGAGCATCTCAGCATCCATAAATAGGCCTAGCACATTCCCATCGAATCGCAACAAATAATCACATTATCATAACTGAAGATTATCATGCCGGACATTAAAAAAAAAAAAAAAACTAAATTGAGATAAAATCAAAAGAAAAAAGAAAAAAAATCTATACCCTGAGCGCTCGAAAATGGCAACACCGACCTCCTGGAGGAACAGAAAACGGAGGAGCTTGGACGCGAGGGTGCACTTCGCTCTTCCCTTAGCGTAGGTCATGGCTAAGCCTAACTCTGTACCCTTTCCCCTTACACCCCCCCCCCCAGCATCTTCGCGTTCTTACAATTTTTTTTTTTTTCTTTCTTTTATAAATCTCGTACCCTATTCGAGGACTGACAGGGACATCCACACGAGGCGAAAGAGAGCGCTCAATGCCTCAAGCCGCGACGATATCACCATCAAAACGGGTTCATAGGGTCTTAGAAATGAGTCGCACCAAACCATCACAATCAACACTGAATTCGACAGAGACAAATGGCAATATTTCCTCCTCATACCCATGTATCCCAAAAGACGCTGCCATTGGTTAAAATTAACGTTTCTCCTCAGCTGTTACCCTTTCCCCCTCAGACGTTATTTTATTACTATTATAGGAATAATAAGAAAAGAAAAATAAGAACAATTATTATAGTAATAACGATAATAATAATTACTACTACAAGAACAAGAAGAAAAGAAACATATGAACATAATGATAATAATAATGTAATGAGTATGAAGAAAACAAAATAAGAACAGAATAGAAATACAAACAGAATGAGAGGAACAGAGGAAGAAAAAAAAGAGAAAAAAGAAAAACACAACAAAAAACAATACAAAAACGGAGGACCCCCTCCCCCCCAGGCCGATCCCCTCCCGTTGCCTTGGCGATCTCTCTACCGTAACTGCCACGACCACTCCCCGACCCCCTGCCAAGCACGTGGGGCCAGGGTAAGGTGCCAGGGTATGCCAATCGGACCCGCGGAACCTTCGGGAAATCGGGCGCGTTGCGAAACCGCTTTTGTAATCCTTCCCCCCCCTCCTCTCCCCCCAAATATTTCGCTCGTTATGTCCTTCTACTATAAGGGAGGGCGACGCCGTCAGCCCCGATCTCCTGACGGTTATGGTGCGTTCGGAACTGCTCGTCTATCTCGTCCAGACCAGTTGGACGAGATGTTTTGACTGTTCGGAACCTCCACTATCTCGTCCCGGACAAGTAGTCTAGCTCGTCCAACTCACCCTCCTGCAAAGGTGGCCGAGCAGGACGAGATGACGTCACAAAAGGTTTTGTATGTAAACATGGACAGTTGCAGGTAACCACAAGATATTGGTGGGTAATTTTATAACCATTAATTGGTGTTATCAAAGGATATTTTTGTGTTTGTCAGTTGCAGGTTAAATATGCATCAAAGGAGTTACAAAACCTATGCAGCGTGTAAAATAAAGACACCGGTATGATAAAAAAAGTGAAAGTTTACATTCGACCCGGTTGCATTCTGGGAAGAAAGGGTCTTGGAGGTTCCGAACGCGGCCCACTTGTCCTGCTGGTCCTGGACGAGCAAGACGAGCAGTTCCGAACGCAGCATTAGGTCGGTTGTTGCCTGCGCGCACATGGGGATTTCGACTCTTTATACATGTCCCCTGTGATTACTTAATTCCCCATGATATTTAGCTTTACAAATGAATGAATAATTAAGTATGTGTGCGTGCGTGTGTGTGTATATGTGTGTATATGTGCCGTGCGTGTGTGCTGTGTGTGTGTGTAGATCGGTGACGCTAGAGAAGAGGTCTACGATGATTTATTAGCTGGCCACAAGAGAGACGCGTTCGATGTATCTAATAACAATCCGACAGCCGTTGTAAATGGAGCGAAAAAAATGCAATCAAATTAACTCCTTCGCCATTTATTCCGCCGTACCGTTCTAATTACGAAATGCATCGGGCACTCCGAAGTTTAAACGGAGAGGAATGTTCTAGAACGCTTAAGGCTCTAATACATACTTTACGAAGTACTGGGGAGTCTGTTCGATTCCTGGTTATAAGACAGAGAGAAAGAAAGAAAAAATACCTTTGTTTCATCTTCTCAAAACTCTCTCTTTTAGAATTAAATGTTTGAGCAAAATGTCTGATATAAATCCTAATTCAAATAATTTATCAAGAATCTGTCTTATGAATATTTTTTTTTCATTATCACTTAGAGAAGATGAATTTCTTTTTCATTTTCATTCATTTATTCATTTATATATATTTTATGTGTGTGTGTGTGTGTGTGTGTGTGTGTGTGTGTGTGTGTGTGTGTGTGTGTGTGTGTGTGTGTGTGTGTGTGTGTGTGTGTGTGTGTGCGTGTGTGCGTGTGTGTGTGTGTGCGCGTGTGCGCGTGTGGGCGTGGGCGCGTGTCCGTGCAAGTGCATGTATGTGTGTGCGTGTGTACGTGCCTGTACATAAGTACACCAAAAGGTTTCGTGCAACAGGCTCGACATTCGCGAATCGCTCCCACAACAAACCACGTCGGTTCGAAGCCCCTGAATCCCCCAAGCCGTAGGTGAGAACAAAGCCTTCGAGAGCTGCCACGGGATCCCCCAACTACTACGCCCGAAGAATAACCGCGGCATTTTCCTCATTACGTAACAGCGCGCCCGCGATGTTGCACGCTCAACCTTGGCTCGTCATCTTGACAACAACCTCCAGCCCCAACACCGCGATGCCTTCCTTCCCCTCAGAACCCCACAACCTCTTCCACAACACGAAACCCCCCAAAAACAAAGAAACCAAAACAACGAAGGCAACAAACAAACCCCAAACAAACGAACCACCAGCACCAACAGCAACACAAACACGCCCGAAATGATCGAACCGGCAACGCAAGGACCGAGTCACCGGAGCAGCGTAGCGCGTCGGACGCCCGAGACGCGCTTCCGGGAGAGAGAGAGAGAGGAGGGGGGGGGGGGGGCTATAACGCCGGCGAGTCGGTATCCAAGTTCCGCGCCGCGCTTGTTGCCGACGTGGAAAGCGCAACTCATCGGGGATCTTTGAGCTTAAGAGTCTGTCTGTCTATCTGTCTATCTGTCAGTCTTTCTTTCTGTCTATGTCAATCCTTTTTTTTCTGTGTCTGTCTGTTTGTCTCTCTCCCTCTCTCTAACCGTCTGTCTTTCTAACTGGCTCTAGTGTAAACCTCCTCGCTCTGGCTCTTACCTTCCTCCCTTCTCTCTGCCTGCCTCTATGTCTCCATCAGAAGACGCGAATCTCACAGCATCTCCCCGCGAAATACACAACCCTGCCGTCGGGTCTCATTCCACGCCAATTAGAAGCAAAATCAACTATGTTTACACTCCCGCCCACGCCCGCTCAGCTGATACCCAAATACCCCCACCACCCGCTGCAACAACTGCATCATTGCATTACGACACAAGGAGTAAACACAAGAAGGAGGGTGCGTGGGGGGGGGGGGGCGGCCTGCGACCTATCAGCTATTTTTGACCTTATAGAGAGGGAGGGAGGGAGGGAGGGAGGGAGGGAGGGAGGAGGGAGAGAAGGGAGAGGGAGGAGGGAGAGGGAGAGGGAGAGGGAGAGGGAGAGAGAGAGAGAGAGAGAGGAGAGAGAGAAGAGAGAGGAGAGAGAGAGAGAGAGAGAGAGAGAGAGAGAAAGAGGAGGGAGAGAGAGGAGAGAGAGAGATTCGGGGCGGGGGGGAGGAGAACATGAATTAGAAAAGAGCATTTAATGAAACGAAATCTTTTAGTATAAATAAATACAAAATAAGAAACAGAATATCATTCACCAACAGCAACTCCAAGAAAAGCGAAGGAGAGAGAAACCCAGCAACAGACAAGTGCGTCGCATATGGCCAACAGGACGCGAGCTCTGTGGAGTGAGCGGAGCAAGTAGGGGCTGGCTCGCTGCGAGTCTAGGGGCGCTGTAGGGAAAGCTGGGGGAGGGGGGATATCATAACCCCTCCCCCTCCTCCCCTCCCCGCCCCCATCCCCTCCCACCCCGCGGCAGCCATGATACTAAAACCAAACTGCGCTGTCAAAATCCGCTGCTTTTCTGTATTTCCCGGAATGTTCATGGACGCTATGTAAACGGACAGTTTATGAATAACCATTGCTATATCCATATTTATGTTGTTTGTACATAAGTGCAAACACGTACGCATGCGCGATTGCATGTACATGTATGTATATACTTACACACATACACATACTGATATATAGGACACATGCATGCACATATGTCTGTGTATGTATATTTACATATACTATTACACACACAAAAAAACAGCTCAACTCCCAAAATTCTCTACGGACAACGCGCATAGAAAATCGCCGACGCAAGCAGGAGCCAACAAAGACCCCCCCTCCCACCCCCACCCCACCCCGCCCGCGCACACCAAAGCAAGCACGGCGACGCTTGCTGAGACGAACGATTTCTCGACCCTCCGCTCGGTCACCCAGGGTCAGCGACGCCAAGACCTCAGCCCGTCGTCGCTGTCGGTCTGTAACATGACCTAAGCTTATCGAAGGAAATCAACCCAGTGATAAAGATGGCGGGGGGGGGGGTCCCTGGACAGCCGTTAACTTTATTTAGACAAATAGGGGTTTCCTGTGGGTTACAGTGTCGCCATACTTTCCGGTCTCTCTCTCTCTCTCTCTCGGGTCTCTCTCTGCTCTCTCTCTCTCTCTCTCTCTCTCTCTCTCTCTCTCTCTCTCTCCTTCTCTCTCTCTCTCTCTTCTCTCTCTCTCTCTCCTCTCTGTTTTTAAACTCAATTTTATATCCGATTGTGTATGTAAGAGGCACATTATCATAACAACAATTGCCTACACCCTACATACACACAAACCATCTGTCCGTCACGCTCAACCCCAACTATCTCCCGGCCTTTCCACCACATAGTCGGTTTTCGTCCGCCAAAGTTATCCCATACAGGATACATTTACGCCGCGCCATTGCTCCCCCAGTTCGTACCCACCGTTTAAGCGCCCGAGAGTTTCGACCGTGGCACCTGGCACCGCGTACGGGGAGTTGCATAACAGGCAGGTCCCGCGCCCGCTACCAGGCGTATGATGACGCGCCGACGCTGCCCCTGTACACAATGGATAGGCTGGACTTCTGCTGGGCGGAATGGAATTTTCGGGGGAAGTGTCTTTTTTCGTTTTATCGGTCCCTTGGTTTCTCTCTTTCTCTCTCCCTCTCCCTCCCCAACAATCTATATCTATCTATCTATCTATCTATCTATCTATATACAC